AAATTCTAAAAATATATTATTGCGACAACGTACTACATTTAGTTACCCATATATTTTATTTGTTTTCAGGCAATTTTCCCGGAGACATGATTTTTGAAGTGTTTTGGGGCCATAAAATATATTTTATACGTGTTGCTGGCACTCAGCAATTTTCTAGTCGTGCTATGCATAAAACTGAACAAACGATATTGAAAATTTATGTGAAGTGAATTTGGAAACAATACATTTATGTTATCAGCTTTTTGGTACAACGCGGCCGAAATGAAATCTATTTTCAAACCATGAATATAAACGTGAAAATCAAGCACAATGGGGATAACGGGGTAATAATATGAAAACAATATTTTTAATAATTAATAGTGTCATTGAATGACCGGATCGAGCTCTAGTAGCTGAAATTGTTCTTGAGGGAAATTATACGATAAATTTTGGAATATCGAGCTTGATAGCTAAAACTTGTAGCTTGAAAGCAAGAAGGTTCTAAGCTAATACCGAGATATTTATTTTTGTGATTTCTCCTTAATCAAATTATGCGTACAGATGTAATTCGAAAGATTGGGTGCGGTTGTGCCACTCACCAGCAATATTTTTTTAATTCACCTGTTAGTTAGGAGAAAAGTAAATTGAATAGCAATTTGAACATTTGTTTACGTGAAACTACAGAATTCTGTCATTAAATACGATGTATTTTTCATAAAATCCAAGAAAAAGAAGAGTACCCACAAGAGAAAAGGTGGATACGGTGTCACAACCGTACCCAACGCACACGTTTGAAAACAAATCATTAGAGTTAAATTATCTAAGCTAATTGAAAACTAACTGCTGGTAAATAACTACTAATGTTCAATTTACAGTAAAATAACAAACACAGTGATCCATCTCTATACAAGTAACAGTTATTATTAAAATAAATCGAAGGAAACTCATCATGCTAATGTAAGGCACTGACTAAATACAATAATGGAAACTTGTTCGAACAATCATACTTCATCTTTCTCGCTTTGAATCCTATGAAGTATTCTATTTTTTTAAGTTAAGGTACGGGAAGTTCCAGCAATTCGCCTTATAGCACGATGTCTTGCATCACCAGTTTTATATAACCTCTATAAAAAGCTCAGACGTGGGTGGGGCAAAAATGGGCCAACTGAACCTTTACCCTGGCATTGGTGTAAACAATAAAAAATAGTAAATAAAATGTAATTAAAGTAAAAAAATAATTTTACAAGATATGGATTAAATAAATAGTTATTACAACTTTGCCAATAAATATTTCTAATAAACAGTTATTATTAAAAGAAATCGAAAGACGAAACTTTTTTAGACTCTTTAAAAGTTCTACTCATCATGCTAATGTGAGTAACTAAATACAATGATGGAAACTTGTTGGAACAATCATACTTCATCTTTCTCTCTTTGGGCCATTTGGACTATTTAAAAAATTTACGGGAAGTTCCAGCAATTCGCCTTAAGGCACGATGTTTTGCACCACTAGTACACTTGATTCATGATTTTTTTATGGTAAGTAGGTACGTAAAAACCAAAAATTTAGAAAGGTATTTTCATATTCGATTTCAATAATTTGCGTTAAAGAAAATTGAAAATACCCTTGGGTTTCTAGTGCTATGTATACCAATTCCACGATATATTCTCACATTAAGTTAAGTATCATGCGTTTACGAGAGTATATGGGATATCCCACATTCGCATTCATAAAGTATGCCCATGAGTGGAAACACATAACGAGCGAGCGCTTCGGTTAAACATTCATAGTGGAGTTATACTGAACGATTCAAGTTAAAGTTTTCGCACAACCGTTAAGCGTCTGTTTGGAAAGGAAACAGAATATAACACAATAGACTATAGAGCAAAGTCAGCTAGGAACTAAGTCTTACGACTCTGGGTCATGAGATCTTCTCATCCTGTAATGAAATGGTTCGCAACCTTTGGAGCTTTCTGTCTAAATCTACCAATGCAGATAGAAAGTATAGTATTTTTGAAGTAATAGAAATATCAGTTTATTTTTTTGATATTGTATGTGCGTCACGTAATTATAGCATTAATTAAAACTCTCCTTCGATAAACTTAGGTTGTTGGGTTATAATTTAACCCATGTAGCTGTAGACTGTATTAAACGCTGATTTGTTTGTATATTATGTATTTATTTTATATATATTTATTGGCTATTTATTATCTATGTTGTTGAGCGGACTTTACTTATAGAAGTGAATTATTAGTCCCATTAAACTCTCCGCTACCCCCTCTACCAGAGGTTGCAACCATTCCGTGTAAAAGCTCAATGCCATGAAGATTGTCAACATCATGGCCAATATAATAAAACAAAAATACGTCAGAACAGATATTCTACGAAATAAAATTTATGTGCACTATACACCAGACAATACAAATCCAATTTGACTTTGAGCAATTATTTTGTAAAAATCAAACCAATTATACCAAATAAATAATTATCTGACTATGTTCAGTAGAATTCGCAGTTAAATCATCATGTAGACACGCGTTTTTTTTATTTGTCGTTTTCACTCCACGACATTGGATATGTCTTGTTTTCAATTTCAAAGAGATTTTACGAAGCTTATTGCAGATATTATAGCTAGCCAATGCAAAATATAATGGAATCATTTTTTACAGAGATAACAACGTATATAACCTTGATCTAGTACTTCGTCAGAAATATTTATCAGCAGAGTTGGAATAACTATTTATTTAATTTATCTCTTGTAAATTTGCTCTTTTTACCTTAATTCAATTTCATTTACTTTTTTTATTGTTTACACCTAAGGTTCAATTGATCAATTTTACCCAACCCACGTCTGAGCTTTTTATAGAGGTTATATAAAAAATTGAATTTTACCTTAAATTAACAAAACATGTGATAAAACAATTAAGTAACGTATACTTAAAAATTATATTAAGGTTTCGTAAATTCAACAACAGTGCTGAAAATCGAGAAAACAAAAGAAAAAAGTTTAGTTTTCTAATTTATCCTCATCAATACTAATTTTATTACAAATACCAACCGAAGTAAATGTCTGCAAAACGTTACTATTTTACTTTCTCATATAAAGTTTTAGTATGAATATCAGTTCCAATTATTGATGTGTTAATATATCAAATAAGAGTGTTTTGAAATAATTTCAGAATCCCTTAATTCCGTGTCCGGGTATCTTGTTTACGTCCAATTCCACTCAGACCATTTATTGGATTCCGGCATTCATCGCAGCGATTTCCATCAATACACTTTTGCTTTTTAAAAGAATAATCTCATTGAAACCTTCCATTGGGAACCAAGGCAGTAATAACACGGATGGTTAGACAGGAGGCTCACTTCGTACACATGTTTAAAAATTAAAGAACTTTCCCAGAACCGGCAATTCTCCCGAGTGCCACACTCGGAAAATTGAAGTGGCCCCACGAACGCGATATTCCTGCGCGAATTCTCATCAAACGAGGGAAATGAGAATTAGGATGAATTGTAAATTTTCTATTTGAGATACATAGTGCGCCTAAGGATCAGATTATTTTTCTCATTTAATTTAACTGCCAAACTTTTCTCGAAATGTTTAAGGTGGATAAATCAGTGGGGATTCATCCAAAACTCGGCTAAATTTAATTTAAAATATATAGAACACTCAAAGTCATATAAAAGGAATAAAACATTTTTAGAATGTTCATTATGCATTTAAACATTTGCCCATTTGTCATCAGAAGATATTAAACATTGATATAAGTAGAAAAATTGGAAGCTACGTGTAGTTGCAACTCAGTGGTTAACCACTGTTTAATGTTATTATGTACTATAAGGTAGCACGGAACACAAAGGTCAAATTTCACTTTGAGCAATTATATTGTGAAACGAAACCAATTACATCACAACAAATACCACATATCAAAAAACAACTACAGTAAAGTTACCTGGGAGTTGTACTGTTCAGTAAAACTCCCAGGTAATTCCTTCTTGTAGAAAAAATTGTCGACTGATCCTTTTTGCCATGTAGCGTAAAATGGGACAAACAAGTAGCAAAAACATTTAACCTATCCAATACCATGGTTACATTTTTTAACAAAAATAGCTCTGTATATAACCTTGATCTGGTATTACGTCAAAGATATTTATCAGCTATGGAATAACTATCCTTTCGATTTATTTCTTGTAAAATATTTTTCAAGCTGAATTTACATTTTTATTTACTATTTTAGGATAGAGTTTCAGTTGGCCCCTTTTACCCCACCCACATGTAAGCTATTATAGAAGTTATATGAAATAATTATCGAATTTCCGCAGATTTCAAGTATAAATAATATATGAATAAGGAAGAAAAGCTCTTTTCAGCAGAGCACTAATAAATAAAATTCAAATAGAATCAACCATATTAGTTTTAATTGCATCAATCCATTACAAAATATTGTAGCTTTCATTCGGTTCTAATAATTTCATAAATCTGACATATTTTGCCAAAATAAATTAGTTCTATTAATATATATCACAGCATGGCAATATTGTCAAATAAAATATACCGCCTCAATATAAGTTTTGTCCTCATTACTTACAAACACAAGCGGACGAGCTATAAATTCTCATATGGCAATGTGATGAGAATAAAGGCCATCGGGATCTTCTAAATCATATAGAAGGCTATATATCATAGCGGTTACTAACAATATTCTACTTTATGTCCTTTGCCAGGACCTCCTTAATTTATAGCATATGGTGTGAGAAATCGTAATAAGTGCGGTATATCCCTGAGACGACGTTTTCAGGGATTAATCAATGTTATTTGTGATATAAGCTGAGATAAATATTAGCAAAGGACAATATAGGGTGATAAAAACTTTATTACGCATTTTTCTCGAATTTGCTAAATCCTACATTGTAAATATTACAAAGCAGTTTAGTGAATCTATCGATTAATTTCATTACTTTTATTTTGTAAAATATAAGGTCAAATTTCTCTATTGTAAATTAATTTCATTCAACTTACTTGATGGATCATGAATCCAACGTTTTTTATCGGCTATTTTTGGAGGCGCCACACGAGATTCTTCCTGTAACGAAAAAGTAAATATTAAGCAAAACAGTAGATATTAACATTATTAACAAAGCATTTCAAAATAAATAAATTAATCAAAATGGTTTGGTAGTTATGACTCTCACACAAAAGTTCACATATACAGTACATCGTCAAGCTTTGTGGTAGAAAGTTGTTAGTTAATCCATAATCAATCATAATTTACAATAAGTATTTTAAAAGGTATTAATATTTTTTGCTGATAGACTTGTAATGAGATAAATCACGATCTCAAAACAATTGCAATTTAGTTAATTTCGTTCTAGATTTTTTTTTTTGAAAAACATATTATAAAATAGTTTGAAAACTTTTATAGAATAAACTTGTGTAAATTTCTAATACTAGTACAAATTTTTGTCCTTGATCCACAATAAGATGAATTTGTATAACTACCCTAAATTACCCAGTTATTTCATATATGAACAGCTCTCCTGTATAAACAACCATTCTCATACAACGTATTATAAATTCAGAACATAACTGAGGCAAATTTATCCATGGAATGAAATATTTAAATATTTTATCATGTATACAAATTAATTATTTATTATAATTATACTATTAACTAATCTCTATTAAACGACTAAAATAGGATACATACGAAAACTGCGAATTCAACCAAACGACGACTTCGTGAAACAACAGCAAATATAGTTTTTTTTAAATCGATTCAAGAATGTTAATAGAATCTAAGAATTTTTTTAACGGTATTTCCATCAACCGTAAAAATTCTGTAAAACTGTAAGTATTTTTTGTACAAAAACCGATAATCGTTCGTATGTTCTAACAGAATTCTCTATTTATAGTCCGACAGAGTATCTGCAAGCGCAGAATCAATCAATCACTCAATCGATGTAATTTACGACGCAGAATCTGCAATTGTTCCATGTCGTTTGCGTTTGCAGGAAACAGGATTTCAAATACATTAGAAATAAATAAAGTTAACAAGAGCAATGGGTTGATTGATGATAAATGAGAAAACTACGTGCAAACTAGAAAAAATAATTCTATATTGAAAAATTTCATTTTATTCACAAGATTTTTCGATTTAGCTATTTTATTCACTAGAGGCACTAGAATCAAAACTATGTTTTTTATAAGCTGTGATTTTCATCTGACATACATTTCAGCCTCAGTATTTTATCCTTTCCCTCAGCCTACAGGTCAACTCTTCTTTTTGTATGCAGTAAGACTGACCGGGATATTTTTCTTAAAATATTTCAACTAGAATACATATAAATTTTCTCAGGAGCAGGTTTGATATCATATTGCCTGATATCACTTAATAGGCCATTAAGCTTTTTTATATAGAAACAATAATTTTTGTAAACGAGATATCTAATTATCTAATAACCTGGGTTAAAATTAGATTATTTTTATGATAATTATGATCCAATTCAAGCAGTGCTCCAAAATTTGTATCAAATGAATTATTTTCATTTCATTGAGAATTCACAATATTCGACGACTTTTTAAAGTTAAAAGTAATTTTTTAAATCTAAAATTTCGACAATATAATATATTATTCTCATGAATATAATTTACTTGCACATAATCCTATTAGACAATAAAAACAAGCAAAGTACTAATTGAAATTTTATTGGGTAATAAAGTTTTATAGTCAACAAGTGAGACTAACGAATATCATTAATCGTAGTACAAAGCTTTCGTACGAATGAGTCCCATTTCACAACGTAATCAGAATTTCACTGATTTCATCAAATAACATCATGAAATTGCATCTCATGAGAAAGCAGATATTTAATTTAAACTTCGTTCAGAGCTATTAACAAACTATTTTATGGACAATGAACTTTTGAAATATCGCTTGGGAAACTAGTTCAATGAAACTTATATTATTGTAAATTTAATTTTCCATTAAATATTCACTATAGGAATTATATTTGCGATACACTACGTTTTGCTAATTGAGCTGATTGTGAATAATAAAATATTTGCAGAACGTATATTGCAATGAAAATAATATATAATGTTTGATACAACTTTTTATCTATATTAGCAGTTTTGATATTGAATTATATCACCAAAATCTTATAACCAATAATGAAACAATAAAAAAGCTTGCCTCCTAAATATAAAAAACTTGGCTCCGTGGATGGTCTATTTGTTTTGCTGTTTATAATTGAGAATTATATTATTATTCCATTAGACATAACTATAATAAAGACCAACTGAAAAACATCCATAAATTCAAAAATAGGATTACAATATTAAATAAAAATATTCAGTAATTTCACAAATTAGTAAATTATCTAGCTGATATGTAAAACATCTGTACAATCGAGTGTACAAAACAACTTAAAACACTAAAAATGATAGCATCTTGGTTAAGATAAAATGTGGTTACATCAAAAGATTTTTTTAAGATAATGTATGAACATTTTATATTACACATCATATTGAAATGGCATCAAATACATAAAGTTGTGGTTTTGATAATAATAACACGTATTATATAAAGCTCATAAATAATATAGGAAGCCAAAGCAACTTTTTGTAAACTATATTACCGCAAGTCGAAAAGGATAGAGGATTTTATGGATGCAAGAAAATCGGATGTTCGATATCAATTATAAAAAAAACTTATAAAATTTTAAAAATTACTTAGGTTAGGGTGGGGCACAAAAGTCCAATTTAACTTTGAATTATATTGCAAAAACCAAACCAATTATATGACAACAAATAACACATATCAAACAAACAACTATCTGACTATGTTCAGTAAAACTTCCAGCTAACTCATCATATTTTATCAAAAATAATCATCAGCATTGTTGGAATAACTATTTATTTAGCTTATCTCTTGTAAAATTATTAACTTAATTTACTTTTTTATCTACTAATTTTTAATGTTCACACCTTGGTCAGGGTAAAGGTTTAGTTCTTTAGTTGATCCTATTTATTGCACCCATGTTTTGTAGGGGCTATATGAAAAAGCGTTTGAATCAAACTTAAAATCAACAGTATTTCTCATAAAACATTTTAATAACTACAAAATTATATTAAAGTTTCAAAAACTAAACAACAGTACTCAAAACCAAAAAAAAAATTACCAACGAAAAAATGTTATGGATTTTTAAGCATTTTCGTTTGTCTCCCGATAGCAATGTTGTAAAAATTTAGACAAGTTTTATATATGTATATATATTATATATATATATATATATATAATGACGTTTCTCTATCTAACGTGTTGTGTTTTCTTTTCCCAGAGTAATATATTGAAATCGTCAATTTTAAGTTCATATATAATAACACCTGGAGTACCTGTTGTCCAGGTTTAATAATCTTTTTTTAAATAATTCATTGCAATCAAAATTCTTTTTGTCTTTTCTTAAGGACAAAAGAAAACAAATATAAAATCTGATTGCTTGCTCTCGAGCTCGCAAGTATTAAAATTTAATATGAATACCTCATCCCTTTATTAAGTGGCACGGGATTTACATGAAGGTATGATAAATACAAAGCAATTACTTCAATAATTTAAAAAAACTGTAATCATAATTAATGATAATAATAAAAATTAACTAACAAATAATACCTACTAATAATATATTAATATTATATAATTATGTGATTTATGAAAACCTCTTTTGTTTAGCTTCACATGACATTTTTAATTTTTAATTTTAATTTCATTTTGCAATCTGTATATATAATTACATTTAGCAGAAAATGCTGACAAGTTGTTTACAATTAGTTGTTTACGAATTAGTAGATACCCTCAGCGGAGTATCTACTAGAGCTAATATAGTAAAAAAAAACTAAAAACAGAAGAGAAAAAAACAATAAAATGTAGTAAAATAAAAGTATTATAGTTAATTGAACTATATTAGATCTTCAGGTATTTTTCTTTTAAGCCTGGTCGTCGGACCTTCCTGATATAAATGACATGCTAGTTGGTTAGGATAGACGCCTTCTGTTCTTATAATTAATGGCAACTATTGAGATATGTTCTTGAATAGATAGGTCATGACATGATTACAAATTAAATCGCATATAATAATACTATGATTATTAATGTATTTCAGTAAAATGTAATGTATTTTTCTTTTAATCCTGGTCGTCTGGTCTTCCTGATATAAATGACATGCTAGTTGGTTAGGATGAACGTCCATTCTGTTCTTATAATTAATGGCAACCATTGATATATGTCATTGAATAGATAGGTCGTGACATGATTACAAAATAAATAGCATACGATAATACTATGATCATTAATGTGTTTTAGTAAAATATAATGTATTATTATTATTTTCGATATCCATGACAATGATTTTTGTAGTTCTAAGAGCAGGAGCTCCGAATGCGCAGACTCAAGTAGTTTTTCAGAGTCTGTTACATTAGCTCTGACAGATTACAAACAAAAGTGCGAAGTAAAGAGATGTGTATAAAACTCATTTCATATTATTATGTGGTAACATGGTACAAGGTATATGGTAAATGGTAAAATGCAATTACACAATGCACTACCTGCCCGTCTTGCAAGTGCATTGCGACCTACAGGGACGTACAATGTGACGTGTAATTAAAAGTTGGCGAAATCGTGCTTCATCTGAGTCATCGAGATAAAGAAAAATTTTAATCAAAATATGGAAAAAACATTAAAATTTTACGTATATGCAAGCGATGGATGAGATATGAAAAAAGCAATTATAGGCAAAGTTGTACCATATACAAAACTGATGAAAAGTATCAATGATCAATACAACTATATAATCACTTGTAAAAGTAAGATACAAAATATAAGAGCTGCATAACATTTTATATAACAAATTTTGCAAAATACAACTGTAAAACTAGTGGGGTGTATGGCATCGTGCCTAAAGGCAAATTGCTGGAACTTCCCGTACCGTAACGAAATGTTCGAGGAATATTAAATGTTTTCAAATAGACTATTATAAATAAATACTATAACATTGTCTAATATTTATAAAAATTATATAAACTGAATTG